AAAAGTTTTTAAGTAATGAAGTTGAACCACAAGCGCCCTAGTTGAATCGCATGAATCGTCGACAAGACGATTTGAGAATAAAGATGAGACAACTCGTCAACAAAAGAAAAAGAAGGCCTAATTACTAAATTTACTCTTAATCTCAAAAGTCGCTTAGAGTAATTTTTTAGGGGGGACTAGATGATATAGCCCTATTATCATAGCCCGGTTCAGGCGTTAGTTACCCGACTCGACAGACGCTGCCAAGGATATCGTCAAGACGATACCTCCCCAAGTCGACATGACTTGTCAGTCATAAAGAAGATCGCCACCGGCTTAGGGACGATCGAGAGACGACTTTAGGAAGTCGACTCGGAGTAAGTCGACTTACGCGCTAGAAGGCGAATAAACATTCAGAGAGCCTCGAATATACTAACAGGACCATAAGTCGGCTCGACAAAGCTCCAACTCGACTTAGAGTACCTCTGACGACTCGCATTTATCTCCGTATCATAGCAAGGCTTCCTGAGCTAGAGAATCTACACGAGATGAGAAGGAATCTAGGTGCTGACTCAGAGAGTGGGCGGAATATGAACCGACCAGGGCATTTTGGACACTTCAGGCAAGTCGGCCAGGGCATTTCAGGTATTTCTAGTGAGCATTTCTACCCCTATATAAAGGAGTAGATGTGACTCCAAACCCTAACTATTATTCTCCTCATTCATTATTCAGCTGCTGCTCCCACTGAGCAGAGCTCCTCCTCTCTTCTCTCACTGACTTGAGCGTCGGAGGCTCTTCACCGGAAAACACTTCCGGTGTTGAGTTCTTGCAGGTGTTCACAGCGGTCCACGGGCGACTTGGAGATGATTCGAACAGACCGGAGCTCATTTCCACCGGTTCACTCCAGATCTAGGAGGATACCCATCAAATTGGCGCCTTCTGTGGGGAGTTCTTGAAGGAAGTAAGAGCTTTACACCTAGTTCCGATCTGTTTGACATGGCGGAGAAAGAAGGATTATCGAGAAATCTAAACGAGGACTTCAGGGCAGCGTGGACGGACAAGCGGCCGCCGTCAATTCCTGGCCCTAGACCACCGCTTCAGGTTCTCGGTTTTCCACCCTTTGGGGGACACGCGCCGTCGGGAGTGCGTATCGAGGAAGAAACACCCATCACGCCTCCTGGGGTAAAAATTCTGGGGATAACACAAGGAGAACCTAGTCAGGTGAAGGGCGCGAACACTGGAGTCGACGACGGCGAGTCCACAGAAACGACTTTGAGCCTGGAAAAGCAATCCAGAGTGCTGGAACAAGTGACGATGCCACCACCCCAGGCCGAAGAGCAGATGATGACTGTGACGAGGAATGAGATGCAAAGAATGATAGCGGAGGCGGTGGCAGCCCGACTCGAGCAGGTACAAGTCGAGCACCCCAGGCTCGAGCAGCCCAGGCTCGAGCAGCGCAGGATTGAGCCACCACCCCATGATCACGAGAAACAAGCCCAGTCCAATGATAGGCAAAACAAAAGGGTGGAGGAGGAGGCGTCCTCCATTAGGACCGCTAATCCGCAGGCGAGAGATGAAACACTGGAGCAGTTGCTGGCCCAGGTTCGTGATTTACAGGCCCGAGTCGAGGGGAGGAAAGTCGGAGGCTCGAGGGGACATCCGTTCTCGCAGCACATCCTGGATGCCGACCTGCCGCATGGTTTTCGTGATCTAAACATAAGTTATGATGGGTCGCC